CAATAGGAGACTGGCAGAATACATTGTGGTACGTAAATGTATTAATGCACTATTGCACCCCCCCCAAAAGATAAAAATGAAGAATACAAGGAAATACAGAACAGGGTGAAGATACAGGGGGAAAATGCAGAATTAGAATAATATGCACATTGAATAATACAATGAAAAAAACAGCAAAATCCAAAAATGTACATAGAAAAAAAATAGCAGAAAAAATAGCAGGAGACAGCAAAGCAAACAATGCTTTATTGTTCAGGTTATTATTTTTTAATGAAGTCAGTGTTCAAGTGACCTTGGGAAGACACACTTATACACAGTGGATAGAGTTATGAATCCGTCTAGATGATCAGGAAATGGATTTGGAATTGTACAACAAAAGTTACTAAGCTATTAGTTCACTTTGACCCATTGGACTTGTTCACTTAAGACTTCTGATGTCAAAACTAGGAGCAGTGAATAGGAGTTGCAAACAAGGCAAATTTAAGCTTTGTGGAAGCTTATTAAAAGCTTCTATATATATTAAAATAAAATTATCTAAATATATATATATATATATAATTGTTGTATCATATATATAACTACATATATTAAGAAACTATTTTCCTCAAAATCTCTTTCCAGTCCAGGAAAGGTGGGTGATAAGTTGGGGACAAGAAGCCTTTTCTTAGGTAAATAGATTAAGGTTGACATTAAGCCTTTTAGCAAAAATTAATTTTATCTTATTTACATCATTGCCTTTCCCACTCCCCACTGAAAAGATTTGGTTATTGACCCATCTAAGTTCCCTCTTCCCTTTAATGGCGCACCTGAAATGACTGGCATGCTAGAATCTACCATTTTCCACAAAGAAAGGATTATGATCTTAGTGGAAAGGAGGCAATCCCTTTGTTTTAACTTGGAGTTAGGTGTGTGATCCAGGAGGGCATGGGATGGCAGATACGGTTATCCAACAATTCTGGAATGTTAACCCAGATTGCATTTTCACTTATCTTTGGCTTATTCAAGATTCTTATAAGTGTTACCTGAAATCTTCTTGAGGAAGAGTCATGTCAAAGTGCATAGGGGATTATGCTATTTTGTATCTTGACTTGGAAATAGTTTAACGTTAAATTCAATAAAACTGTTTCTAGCAGACGGGCTAAAATGATCATTATTATTTTTTTCTTCAACAATTTGATGTGAGGAAAACCTACAAAAAATTAGAGATATCCCAAAATAGAATGAGATGCCTGAGAAGTTAATGAGTTCTCTCTCATTAGTAGTCTTCAAGCAAAGGCAGAATGACTACTGTAGTGATGCTTTGGGGTTGCATAAAAGGCTGCCATTCTCTGTGACTCTGAGGGGTAAATGGCTACCAGGGTTGGGGAACTTGCGGCCTCTAGGCCACACGTGGCCCTCTAGGTCTTCAAGTGAGGCCCTTTGACTGAATACAAACTTCACAGAACAAATCCCCCTGAAACAAATTGTGGTACGTTAATTTGGTAGAAAGTGTGCTGTAAGGAACAATGAATGTGAGGAGCTAAAAAAAGCAAACTGATATGAATTTATGCTGGGCATCCAGATGGTATATTTGGACATCTTAAATCTTAGAATGCACACCTGGGATTCTAGTCTTAAGAGTAATTCTCTTTAAAATAAATGCTGAGTAAACTTTTCCTCTTGCCTGACTGGGCCTCTGTGCATCTCAATTTCCTGGTCACCAAATCCCTCACTGATAGGAATAGTGTTCTTCCTCTTCACCTCCACCTCCTGGTTTTCCTTCAAGTTTCAGCTAAAATCCCATCTTCTCCAGGAAGCCTTTCCCAAACTCCCTGAAGGCTAGTGCCTTCCCTCTCTTGATTACTTCCAGTTTATCCTGTATACATCTTGTTTGTACGTAGTTGTTTACATGCTACCTCCCCCATTTGACTGTGAGCTCCTTGAGACCAGGGACTTGTATGTTTCTTTGTATCCTCAGCACTTAGGAGAGTGCTTGGCACATAGCAGCTGTTTAATAAATATTTGTAAAGTGCTTTGTGAAACATCAAGTGCTATATAAATGCTCATTATTATTATTACAGCCCTATATTTCCTGTGAGGAAAGTTGCGTTAAGTATTATCACCTCTTTTTTATAGAGACAGAAACTGAGACTAGGATGGCCAAGCGATTTGCCTAGACCAGGGGTGGGGAACCTGTGGCCTCGAGGCCACATGTGGCCCTCTAGGTCTTTAAGTGCAGCCCTTTGACTGAATTCAAACTTCACAGAACGAAACTTCTTAATAATAGAATTCGTTCTGCAAAACTTGGACTTGGTCAAATGACTGCACCCGAGGACATAAAAGGCCACACGTGGCCTTGAGGCCTCAGCTTCTCCACCCCTGGCCTAGACTCTAGTCACACAGCAAATAAGCATCAGAGTCCAAGACTCAAATCCAGGTCTCCTGCTCAAGGGACTTTTCAAATACTCTGTTTATAAATGAACATATTTTTAATGTTTGGTAATTCTGCTCTAGGTAGAATGTAGGTGTCTACTTTGATCAATTAAACCACGTGTTCTAGTAAAGGCTCAAAGTACACAGGGATGCAATTTTTGAAACTTGCTTTAGAAATGCTTTATCCCACATCTGCCGATTAGATTGCCACCACAACAAAATAAAAGTTATTCATCTCATTAAACGATATACCACTAAAGTGTAAGCTCTGGAATTGTGCCCTCTACTCTGTATATTAACATGCCAACCTTCTTAGGCTGGGAAAGAATGTGCTAGACTGAAGAGTTGGCCCACCACATGATCTGGCCATAGCAAGAACTTCAAATAGCCAACGCTACAACATAAAGCAGGGTGATCACATAGATATCATAGTTGCTCAACTGATACTTTATACTAGCCCATACTTGTATAGTAATTCAAGGTGTATGACATGTTTCTGTTGAACTGAATTCTGGTTAATAATTGAATTTTCAAGGTAAGAATTACATCTTTTCGAAATATGTTGCTACAATTATCTGCCTTAATTAACAAAGTAGAGTGAGCAAAATGGAGTATTGCTTTGCTACAGGCCCCTGGCAGAGGTTTCTGGGCAATCAATCTGAATGTTTATTAAAGTTTGACCAGTCTAGAAGATTTAGCATGGGACTGGCTGATTGTACTCTAACGAATCCCACTTCAGGAACTAGGATTTTTCATTTTTTTATATGAGTTTTTCCTCTTTCACTTAAAAAACCTTGTGCAGAATAATCCTGGTTGCTGAAGACTTTTTAAGACAGCATCTCTGACCATATCCAGCTGAAAAAAATGAATGCTAAAAATGCTTCCTTGAGCTTCCCAATCTTCTGTGCCTGGAATGACCCTTAATAAATGAGTCTATCAGGGCAGCTAGGTGGTGCAGTGGATAGAGCACCAGCCCTGAAGTCAGAAGGACCTGAGTTCAAATCCGGCCTCAGACCAAACACTTGACACTAGCTGTGTGACCCTGGGCAAGTTACTTAACCCCGATTACCTAAAAATTTAAAAAAAATTTTTTTTTAAAAAAATGAGTCTGTAGGATCACATGCTTATATGCCCAGGGGATTGGAAGGAGGGTGGGGAGGGGTGACTGAGGCGGCCCTAGCAAGGCCACATGAGATAAGTTTCAAAAAACCAAGAATATGGAGACGGAAACTCAGAAGATCTTTCTGAGGATTTCAGTAAGTACATCCTGACTAGTGTAGAAACAGAAATCATCTGCTGTTTTGTAGCACAGACATGCATAGGGTTATGGATTCTTTGTTCACCTAATTGAAAAAAAATCAATATTGCGATTTTGACTAATTTTGACGTGTTTTCCTTTCTGTCTCCAGGTGGACGGGTTGGATTTCCTCGAAAAGCAGCAGCAGCAGCATTGTCCTCATTGCTATTGTCATCATCCCTTACATAGTCTAGGGCTAAAAGGGACCTCAGAGGACGTTTAGGACGACTCTCTCACTTTACAGATGAGGAAACTGAGGACCAAAGAGCTCAGACAATTTACTGAAGGTCATCCCGGCAGTATCCAAGGTAGGATTTGAACTCGGGTTCTTTGACTCCACAACCAATACTCTTTCTACTGTAACACGCTAACACATTATGAAAAATATTATTTCATCATTTTATTTGACCCTCACAACAATCCCATGTGGCAGATATTACTGTCTGTCCCCCTTTTAGAGATGAAGAAACTGAATTTCAAAGACAATTATTTGCCCAAATGTCATTTAGCTAATAAATGTCAGACGTGGGATTTGAATCCTGGCCTTGCAGGGTACAGGAGATAGAGGGTTGGGCCTGGAGTCAGGAGAACCTGAGTTCAAATATAGCCTCAGACACTTAGCAGCTGTGTGACCTGGACAAGTCACTTAACCCTGTTTGCCTCAGTTTCCTCATCTGTAAAATGAGCTGGAGAAGGAAATGGCAAACCACTCCAGCGTCTTTGCCAAGAAAACCCCAAACAGGGTCATGAAGAGTCAGACACGACTAACTGACTGAACGACGACAATTTGCCTGACTCCAAGTCTAACACAATCTAATAACTCGTTAAGTCATAATTCTCTAAGGCTAGATTATTGAGGCAGTGTGATGTGGCAGAAAAAGCCCAAGTATAAAATTTAAAACTCCAAGTCCCAGCTCTGGAATTTGATCTATGCCTCTTGGCAGGTCAAAAGCTTTCTGAGTCTGTTTCCTTGTCTATAAAATGGGAATAGATAAACAAGTTTGCTGTAAGGAAAGTGCTTTGTAAGTCAACTATAAAATTAAACTAAATAAATTACCAGTTGTTCTCTTCAGGCAGATTTTCAACATACCCTGTCTGCCCTAGCCTGCTCCCAGTCACACTAGCCCCTCAGGGCACTCACCTGGACTGGTTTCTCCTACTCTCGTAAGTCCTGTCTGCTAAAGTCACTTCATATCCAGTCTTTTACCTGGCTGCCTACTCTGATTAGTCTTTTGGGGACAGTGAACAGAACTCAACTGTGGGGCGATAATGGAAACAAATAATGCAAGAATTGAGGTTGATGGACGTTGTTTATTGAAAAGTGACCTTGGTGTTTACAGTTTCATGTACACAGAGGTAGCTGCGACGAAAATATATCTTCCCGGTGATAAATAGCAGCAACTAAACTATGGCCAAGTAGAAAACTGAGCTGAACACACGTCTACCGGCGTCGTAAAAAGGTATTCATAAATGCAAAGTAATTAAAAATCACAAAAAAATACAATTTTCTGATGATTGTCGTCACAGCGTTGTGCATTTGGTCCAACTGCCTTCTTTTAAAAAAAAAACAAAAATGTGTTTTTCACAGAGCTATAGAAAACATTAGTGAGAAGGTTCTTTGGGTTAGTCATTAAAGAGATAAGTGGGGAAAGTATTCATATATATAAGAGAATGAAAGAATCATGGAATTCTAAAGTTGGAAACGACCTTATAGATCATCTAATTCACTTTCCTCAAGGTGAATATGTGACTTGCCCAATGTCACATAGCCACTAACCAGTGGCAGAAATGGGCCCAAAAATCTATCTGGTGCATATATGCGAGTTAATCACCAATTATATTCAAATCCAGGTAGTATGGAAATTAAATTTATAAACAAAATAGGAATTGTTAAAATATTATCATGAAATACTTTCAAAGCTTCCTTTCTTATAACCCAGGCTGGTCGCTGCATTTGTTTTCAAGAGAGAGCCGTCCCTCTCGCCCCCTTCTCTTAGTAGTCCTGCTTGGCTGAACTCACGACATTCTTCTTCCATAAAAGAAGTTGCTGAGTTAATAGACCTAACTCACCAGTCATTTAGCTATTGGTGGGATAAGACAGTTTCAGTCAGGCAGGATGGTTACCGTGCTAATGATGAAAACAGCAGGATGGTGAAGGTCAGACTGAGGAGCACTTACTGCAAACTCCTACTGGAAAAAGTGAACACTAAATCTAGACAGCTGCCCAGAACACGGTCACGGCACTTGCGTCCCCGAGTCATCACACGATTGTAAGGGGCCCCAGAGAGGCTGAAGAGGTCTAGGGCGGGGCTCCCGAGATCCCCAATCCGCAGAGAAGGAAAAATTCCAGTCCTGCCTTTATATAACACAATCAAGGGGAAAGAAAGTTGGAATAAGCCTCCAAAACTGGGACCAAAGTGTGATTGTGGACCCTGGCTGTCATCCCTTGACCATCGGATTCTTAAGACAGACGGGAGAGAATGGGGAGAGGGTGTTGATCCAAATCACTCATACTTCCTAGAGAGATCCAGGAACTGGCATGTCTCTGAGAGTTCTAGGAAACTCCACGATTGGGGAATTAGAAGGAGACAGAAGGATGACTCCACTGGGATTTCCTGTCCCCCTTAGTGATGTGGGCTCTCTTGTCCATTACCTAAGCCCTACTCCTACCATCCAATATGGCACATGGCAACCTGTGAAAACAGTTGCAGTGACCAAGTCCCATTAGCTCTCACTCTTTCACTACATCCAAGGCTCTTAATGTTTTCTTCCTGGGCTGAAGGCTACTTTGTCCACTTTGGGGTTCCCTGATGGCCCTGGTGTCATATCAGGCCAGAGGATATATGCCATGTACCAGCCATGACCAACACATTACATGGCAAAGACCCATCCTGGACTTAAGGGAAGTGATTAATAGGAAACACTAAGTATGCTGTATAACCTGTGACAACTTTCAAGAGAGGGAATGGCAATGGCCAGCCATGCCTTTTATCTCCATCCTACCACAGCCCATGAGGCCCAGCTCCTGGATTCCTAGTAAGCTACCTACCTATTTCTCACATGCTCTTTTCTAATCACCACCTTCAGGGCTTTAGTGGTGTCAAGAGAGAAGAAGGACTAAGCTCCCTATGCCACCCAAAGGCATAGTTTTCAGAAATTAAGGGACTTCTTCAGTAGCTCCTGCTTTTTTCATGGCACTATTTCCATCTGCCCACCTTCTTAAATGTACTTAAATGTACCGAGACCTTAGATCCTCCTCAGTCCATGTTCTACCTACTCATCCTTTCTAACTTAGGACTCTTTTATTTTCTTATTCCTCCCTGGTTCCATTTTTCCTTACTCCTCTCATCCTATATCCAATGCTCTCTCTTACTCCCATGATCTTCCTAGCTCTCTCCTGTTGTCTTCAACACTCTGAATTCTTGTTTCAGTCATGACCTCTCACCATTTCACCATCTCTTGGCATTATCCCATTTAGGAGCCTGGGAGAACAAGCAATGAAGGCTGGGGTAGAGGAGGCTTTCATCAGTGGCAAGGTTGCTTATACTGTATGCAGCAGCTGTCACCTACTGCTGACTGTCAGAGAGCTAAAGTTGGAAGACAAATCCTCCCCCCCACCCCACCCCAGAAAGCTTGAAAGTGGTGGTGACATATCTCAGCTTGTCACTAAATGTAAAATGTACATTTTACATGTAAGAATGAAAATCAATCCAGAGATAAAGAATGAAACAGTTTGATCTGCAGGTAGAGGGGGAAAAACAACCACCACTGACTCTCTGACTACCTCCCCTTTATTAAAAAAAATGGCTTTTTCAAAGAACATGGCTATTATTACTTAAATTCCTTCAAGACTCAGCCATCTCCTTTTTATATTGATTTTCAGAATGGTCATTAATCAATCTTAATACTTAAAATCTAGTAGTTTCTTATTTAAAAAGATATAATACTTAATATAGATTTGTATACTTTACATATGAAGCTGACCTATAAAACTTCTGTAGCTTTCCAAAATGGAACTAGAGAAGTCAGCGAGGTCTAGTTTAACATATTTACAACCTATACATCAGATTTCCCCAACTTAGAGTTATTAAATATAACTTATACCTATACCCTGGCATGTGGGATCATCAGATTCTAGGAGATATATCATTATTTAAATAGAAACTAGGCCCTATATCCTGTCATTTGGAATCATCAGGTTGGGCAGTGAACACAATCAAATGGTGCTGACTAGGGGCAAATAATTCACATGGATCGTGGCCTCATTTGATGTTGTTTTTGATTTTTTAACCACCTTGATTTTTTTACCATATGAGCTGGTGCTCAAAGGGTAAATAACCAGTGGTAAGCCCTATCTATCAGGTTTCTAAATGTTTTATAACACAGGAACTACCTGCCTTGGATGTGAGAGCTGCTCTGCAGCCTGGCTACCCAAAGTGAGGCTTATAATACTTGAGGAAATGGCACATGTTGTGAATAAAGGGGGAAGGTCTCCACTCCAGATGGACCCTTTTATGCATCTGGCTCTGGTCAACTACACTTTGGTGGCTTGTTTAGATGATGTGCTGCTCAAACACTGAGGGAAGCAGAAGCAAATTTAGTGGGGTCATTTTCCTTTGAGAATGGATATCCCATGGGTGCTTCATATAGACTACCCCCATCAGTACTGAAGTCGTCATCATCATCATCATCGAGATCATCCAGCACTTTACTTGGCATCTTCTTGTGTCTGTGAAGACAAAAATAACATGGTTGCTAGTGCCATGGTCGGTAAGGCAACAATAATCATTACAATAATAACAGCTAACATTTCTACAGCACTTTAAAGATTGCAAAGCATTTTACATGTATTACACCTCATTTGATCCCCATAACCCCCCTGGGAGGTAGGTGTTGTTATGATCTCCATTTTACAGTTGAGGAAACTAAGGCAGAGAGAGGTTAAATGACTTGCCCAGGGTCATACAGCTAGTAAGTGACTACGGTAGAATTTGAACTTGAGTCTTCCTGACTCCAAGTTCAGCTCTCTATCCACTGTACAACTTCCTAGCAATCCATAGTCTGCATAGAATGGTACAGTAGAAAAAGAACTCTCATGTGTTGAGTCCTGGATTCCAATCCTGCCTCTGATGCTTATTACTTATATGCCTTGGGGAAAGTTAAGCCCCCTGACCAAAGTTTCCTCGACTATAAAATAAGTGTTTTAGATTAGATGGCCTCTGTTCTAGCTCTATGACTCTGTAAATATTCAGTTCACAGTTTCTATATCTAGGATTCTATCATAACAGGCTGAGAAGACGTGTCTGGTTGATTAAATAGGGCCCCATGTTGGATCAGGAGACCTAGATTCTAGTCCCGTCACCATCACAGTCCTAAGAGATTTGTAACATCTCTGGTGAACTCTTCTGTGATTCTCACTCCTCTATGAGGAGCCTACCTCCCTCAAAAGAGCGACTAGAACCTTAAAAACATGGTGTCCGTACCTCTCAATGATGGGTCTATCTGATGGGTCACTATGCCAAGAAAACTGCTGCTTGCAAAAATTCCCCTAAGGGCATAAATGCCATCATAAGCCTCTGAGCACAACACCTCAACACCAGTCAACTGAACCTGAGCTAAGAAAAGATTACAGACAGAAATTCATGGCCCTATTCACTATTCAGAGAGCACTGGTTTATTGGCTTTCTTAATTCCCTCAGTCATGAGGCAGTCAACAAGTCTAGGCCTTAAAAAGCAATTCCCATGACCTTATTTTCCCCCTAATTTTGGACTCCTAGGTAGAGACAACATAGCATAAAGAAAAGAATATTTGACTTGAAGTAGGAAATGCAGTTTTGAATCCCAACTAAGGCAAGACAAATCACTACCTATCAGAGCCTCAGTTTCCTCACCTGATGAGGCACTACCTACCTTATAAGTAGTATACAAATATGAGTTATTTATTATCATTAAAGGGAAGGCTCCTTCCTACAGCTGGCCTTGGGTTGCCAGAATCATTGAGCTCTAGATCCTATAATTAAGTTATGACCTAGAGATGAAGTTTCATCATGTTCTCATAGAGGCTAGATGACATAATGGAAAGAGCGGTGAACTTGGAATAAGATCTGAATTCAAATCCTGCATCTGACATGTAGAAGCTGTGTGACCTTGGACAAGTCACTTCAACTCTCTCAACTTCAGTTTCTGTTCTGTAAACTGGGTTTTATGGACCTACCTCACTGTATCTTTGTGAGGATCAAATGAGATAACATTTTGCAACCTTAAAGTGCTATATCAATGTTAGTTCTCCTTATTATATGAAAGCAGCAGAGCATGATGGGATATTGGATGAGAGCTCAAGAGACAGGAGTTCTAGTTCTGGCTCTTCCACTACCTAGTCGGGTGACTTTGGGCAAGTCATTGAGCTAACTCTGGGATGCAGTGTCCTCCTCCCATAGAACAAGTATAATATATACTCTGTTCCTCCCAGAGGGCATTTGTGAGGATCAAACGGGACAATATGTGAAAGGGCTATGAAGACCAATGGGAGGGCTTGTGATGATGTGATGATGAATGCCCCCACCTTAAGTCCTTTTTCATGTTGCTGAGCTGCCCCTGTAGCTGCTCATTCACATCCATCTGCTCTTCCAGCTCTCTCTGAAGCTTCTTTTTTGAACTTTCCAGCCTGTCAATCTCTTCTTCTGCTTCCTCAACCTGGCGCTTCATTGCCTTTAAACGTAAGCTCAGCTGGAGAGGGAGAGAAGGAAAGGGAGAGAGAGAAGGAGAGGGACGGGCACAGGGGGAGAGAGAGAGGGAGAGGGAGAGGGAGAGAGAATGAGAATGAATGCTAGTGGCACCTGGGTTGGGAAGGGGGGGAGGGGGTTTGATAGAAACCTCTGACCTCAGCCCCACTCCTCCAGCCCTCTTGCAACAGCAAAGACCCAGTAATACTTAAAATACTTAAATACCTTGTAATACAGAAATACTTGAAAAGCTTCTATCCATTCTCAGAAAAAAGGAGGAGATAAAACTCTCAAGGCTGGTGATAATCCAGGACAATCAGGTTTGCCTTTTTAAAACTTTAATTTTTTTCAATTAACAAAAATGTATTTTTTCTCCTTCCTACCTTCTCCCCAGGGGGAAAACAAAACAAAGAAACAAAAACAAAACACTTGCAACATAGTAAGCAAACAAGTTCCCATATTGGCCATATCCAAAAAAATGCTTCACTCTGCATCATTATCTTTCTGTCATGTTTTATCATGGGTCCTCTGTGATCGTAGATAGTTTTTTGCATTCAATAGAGTTCTTGAGACCTTCAAAGTTATTGATTTTTACAATGTTCTTATTATACTCTAAATTGTTCTCCTGGTTCTGTTTACTTCACTCTGCATCAGTTCATACAAATCTTCCCAGTTTTCTGTGAAACTATCCCTTTTGTCATTATTTACAGTACAATAGTATTTCATTACATTCATATACCACAATTTGGTTAGCCATTTCCCAAATGATGAGCACCCCCTCAGTTTCTAGTTCTTTGCCACGACAAAGAGAGCTGCTATAAATATTTTTGTACGTATAGATCCTTTTCCTCTTTGAGTTCTTTGGGGTACATAGCAGTAGGGTGGCCTTTTAAAAATGAAGCCTTAGATTTTCACCACTGTACTGCTGAAATCTTTACTGCAGATACACTGAAAGGTCCCATACCCACTGATGTGTTTTGGTTGGAGTTGCTATTCCCCCACATCTCAACCCCTGTCAGCTGCAGCCATGTTTGGGTAGATATTATATACCCTGCTATAAAATAGAGAGCTTTGGTCTCAGCTAGATCAGGCCTGCTCCCTTCCCCCCACCTAATTAACCCCAAGGGGGAGGATAGTATAATCATGCTAAGTGAGTGCCATCATTCTTGCTGTCACTTAAGAAAGCAAACTGCATAGTCAGCAACTCTGGGATGGTGGCTGGAGCTTTGGTGCTGGTTCCCAGGAGATATAGTGTCTCCACAAACAATGTACCATATCACCATTTCACTTTCTCTCCCCTCCCTTCCCCTCCTCTCAGAACTTTAGAACTATTTCCAGAACGGGCCAGGTTCTTCTCCCTCCTCCTTCTCCCTTGGTACAGTAGAAAATACTCTGACTTGAATCAGAGGACCAGTGTTCAAATCCTGCCTCTGATTATTGCCTGTATGTCACTTAATTTTCCTGGGCCTCAGTTTCCTCATCTGTAAAATGAAAAGGATGGACTGGATGGTGTGTGAGGTCCCTTTTTCAGATCAATAAAGAGGATTTACTGAGAGGAACCAACCCATGGTCACTTGCTACTTCTCTCCCTATTGTTTCAAATCTATCCTGTATCCCTTATTAGAGACTCAAAGAGACCATTAGGGAAATTTACATATCACTGCTTAGAAAAAAAGGTAAAAAAGGGCAGCTAGGTGCCACTGCAGTGGATAGAGCACCGGCCCTGAAGTCAGGAGGACCTGAGTTCAAATCCGGCCTCAGACCAAACACTTGACACGTACCAGCTGTGTGACCTTAGGCAAGTCACTTAACCCTGATTGCCTCATCAAAATAAGTAAATAAATGAATAAATAAATAAAATAAAAGGTGTGAAAAGCAAAAGGTTTTTCTCTTTTCTGGATTCTCCCATAAAATGTGACTCTAAGGATCCTGTTTTCTGTACCTCACACCTCCCAGCCTGAAAGTCACAATCACAGTGAAGTATCAGATCCCAGAGGCATCAGTTTCTTCTTACCTGGTCCTTTTGGTCAGTTAAAGAGAGATGCTCATCATCTACCTGCATCACCAACTCCTTCACTTTCCTTTCCAGTCTTCGATTGGTCAGCTGAAGATTAGCTCTGTCCCTGGAAAATTGGGGAAGAAGAAATGAGAACCAGCATCACCCCACAAGAACCAGCTACCTCATCTTCCTAGATTGTTTGGTAGAGCGGCCCTAGAGTGAGGAAAAGTTCAAGATAAGTCACTGAAGGACACCTGATTCACTTCAGGGCAGAGCCAAGGAAGTCAAACACTGAAAACAGATTAGGTCAAACTCATTGACCTTGAAGAGCTCATCCAGTTCTAATTTTAGGTTCCTATGATAAGTTATGTGATTTAACCTCTGTGAGCCTCAGTTTCCTTAGCAAAAAAATGGAATGATAATAGCCTCTACCTCACAGGGATGTTGTAAGGTTCAAAAGACAGAATGTATGTAAAGCTCTTTTCAAACCTTAAAGCGCTATATAAATGTAACGTGTTACTATTATTAGAAGCATGGAGGTTGGTACTGTGGGGTAGCAGTTCCACTGTATTTACCTCTCTTCGTTCTCCAGCCGGTCTTCTAGCTCTGAGATCCTGGCTTCCATCTGCACCACTAGACCTTCTTTACTAGATCTATATGAACCTTCCAGGTGAACTATCCGGCTCTTTAAATCCTTATTCTGGAAACAGAAATCTTGCATGTAAAGAACATGTAATCCAGTTTGGCTGGAGTATAATGTACATGAAAAGAATTAATAAAAGATAAGGTGGGCTGCAGAGGGTCTTAGAAGCCAGGCTAAGGCATCTGAATTTCCTTTAGGAAGCAATGGGGAAGCAATGAAGATTCCTGAGTGGAGGAGTGACATGATTCTATCATGAGAGCGTGGCTACAAAGCTCTCTTTCAGCAGAGTTCTCAGAATATTAGGTATAATTAGGTACGTGGTAAATATTCTTTCAGTGAGAACAAGTGAGGGACTCAGTAACCAGTTAAGTGAGAATTGAACAAAACTTCCTGGAAGGCAAGAGGATATTTTTAAGGGGATTTACTTTTAAGCCTTGGAATCCCAGGCATGCATTCTATCTAAGACTTAAGATTTCCAACTATGCCATCTGGATGTTAAAGTGACACACATGTGCTGCCTTTTGGTTTTCAAACTAACAAAAAAACAAGCCATTAGCCAATCAACTAATAGTGAAGCATATAATTGGACAATAATTTGCCCAGTGAGTTAAAAATGACGGGGATGCTACTAATCATTCTCTGCAATTCATACTTGCACATCTGATTACATTTAATGAATCCCAAAGTAACTTAGGCCTGTAAGTGGAAATAAGAGGGCAATGGGGCTTCAAGTTGAAATAGTATTTAAGGAGGCTGGTGACCTTTACAGGTGCCAGCAAGACCACAGCCAATGAGGGAGAGAGGTTCCTTAGTATGGGCTGGCTAGAGCCCTTACCTGTCTCTCCAGGGAAATCTTGTCACACTCCAAATCTTGCCTTACAGCTCTCTCTTGTAGCAACTCACTCCTCATTTGTTCAATCTACAATAGAAAGAAATAGTCAGAACAATCTTCCTAATGGTCAGTGCTTATCATGTTGATCAATAACTTCTTTTTGCTTTTCTTAAAAAACTCCAAAATCTAAAGATCAATGGGCCTGTTCCTGCAGCCTTTAAGCCAAAATTGTGTTCACTGACTGACATTACAACAGCTAAAAGAGTCCTGGACCTTTTCTTCCTACAGTGGTGCTGACCTGCTCTGAGGTTATTCCAGGTAAGAATTCTAGACAAAGAAGGTCTTCTCCTAGGTCCAAGAACTTCTTTTTTTCCCCCAACAACCCCCTTTACTCAGCCCCTTGGGGTTTGGAAAAGCACAAGAAATACAGAGATGGTTCCAGGAATCAGGAAACAGGACAGACAAAGAAAAAAAAGTCAAATTTTTGGATTCTCAGTAAGTAGAATAGAGGACAGTCTGGACTCTAGACAAAAGCTTCCACTGAGACCTGCCCAGGTGAAAACGAGACATGTTTATTGGGATCTCCTATTGCCCTCTTAGAAGCCATATCTGAACTCGGGTCTTCCTAACTTCAGGTCAGGGGCTCTTTCTACTTGGATGCTCCTATCATCATAGCACTGTCATAGTCTTAGAATTAGAAGGGACCTTACAGGTCATTGAGTCTAACTCCCCCTGAAGATGAGGACCTGAGGCCCAAAGGATGAATGGTCACACCATTTTTTTTTTTTTTGGCTAGGCAATGGGGTTAAGTGACTTGCCCAGGGTCATACAGCTAGTACGTGTTATGTGTCTGAGGCTGGATTTCAACTCAGGTCCTCCTGAATCCAGGGTCGGTGCTCTATCCACTGCTCCACCTAGCTGCCCCCATGGTCGCACCATTTTTAAGAGGCAGATTCTGACTCCTAATCCAGTGATCTTTCCCATGATTCATACTCCTTCCCATTTATTTGGTGACTAGACAGAGGGAAGGCGTTTCAGGCACAGAGATTAATCTGGCAGGGAAGCCACAGATTGCCCAGCACATGACTACTTAAACAACAAAAACAACCATTTCTTCTACCTCTGACTAATAGCCTTCTAAACCAGGGACCAGTTAACACAGGGGGCTTTCTCTCCATCTACTAACTAAAAACAGCACAAATGAGCTCAGTAAAACTGCAAACGTAAGAAGTAAGTCAAAATGAAATATTCCAGTCACTGTAAGGGAATCCTATTTAACAGTGAAAAAATGCTAACAATGCAAAGGTTCAGCAAACAGAGCACATAAAACTCTGCCTGGGGTCACTTTTCTCCCTCTGATTGCCTAAAAATCCATCCTGTTAATCACATGTAGCAACAAGGTCACTCAAATGATTCCTATCCATCTTATATAAATACAAACCCCACCGGTAATGAATGCAAACACACGGCAGGGCTCTGCTCCAGATGCAGCTCCTGGATGGGAGACAGCATTCCTGAAGGTGAAGGTCATCAGAACTGCTGGGCAGAAAAGGTTAGAGCCCGGAGGATGGCCCTCCTGGTTCTAATTGTTCTTCTCTTGTCTTAAAATTGTAAACCATGGGGCTTCTTTTAGAGGGAGTCAACTTTTTTGCTAAGTTAATCCACACGTTTATTATCCATTATGTTCAGAAATAAAAAGATTACTGTAACATGGTCCCCAACTCCAAGTATGGGAGATAAGAAACAGACACAGACAACTATATGGCAAGGCAGAATAAGGAAGTATGAAAAAAATGCTACAAGAGTTTAGGGGAGGGAGTGACCATCTCTGGTTGGAAGGATTTCAGAGAAGCCTTCATAAAGGAAAGATGATGTGAGGAAAGCTTTGAGGAATGAAGAATTCCAAAAGAAAGAATTTTGGAATGTGTGTGGGAGTAGGAATTCCAGAAATAGGGGACTGGGTAAGCAAAGAAAAAAAAGGTGTGAAAATATGAAACAGGTCTGAGGAATAGAGCTGGAATACAGAGTACACAGAGAAAAGATGGATAAGGCTGAGATCAAATGGTAGAGGGGCAATGAATGTCAATTTAGGAGTTTGGATTTTATATACTTGGAAATGGGGAGTCAGTGAAAGTTACTTTGTAGAGGAGGGACATGATTCTAGTTCATAAGATCATGAAATCACAACTTAGAGGCTATTCGTCCAACCCCTCTCACAAACACACACAAAGAGGTCTTAGTGACTTGCCCTGGGTCACGCAGCCAGTAACTATCTGAGGTGTGGTCTGAATCCAGGTTTTCTAATTCCAAGTTCTTCGCACAGATATTGGAGTGGTTTGCCATTTCCTTCTCCAGCTAATTTTACAGATAAGGAAACTGAGGCAAACAGGGTTAAATGACTTGCCCAGTGTCACACAGCTAGTAAGGGTCTGAGGCCTGATTTGAACTCAGGTCTTCTTGACTCCAGGCCCAGCAATCTATCCTTTGTGCCACCTATCTGTCCTGAAAAAGATCATAGGTCTCTTCGTTTTATAATTGAGAAATGGAGACCTAGAAATGTAAAGTAAATTATACAAGGTCACACAGACAGAAAGGAGAAATTAAAGACGTGGCATATATTGCAGTAGTCTATGTAATTCTAAGACTTCCAACCTCAAAGACTGGGATAAAGGTGGTGCCACTGATGGGAATTGTTGTTGTTTAGTTGTGTCCAACTCTTCGTGATCCCACGGACATAGGGAGAATTTGGGAGTGGTGGGGAGACATTGGGGAGAAAATGAGTTTACACAGGATTTCTGAGCTGGATCTCAGGGATCATCTAATTTAAGCCACACCTGAAAAATCATCTTTAAAAGTGGCTGACCATCATCCACTTGAAGACCACCCTCTCCCCCCTATCCAGTAACAGTGCCCTCATTACCTTCTTAAACATCCAATTCTTCCTTTGGATAGCTCTATTAGGTTTTTTGTTACACAAAGCCTAAATCTGCTTTTACTCCTTATTCTGCTCTCTAGGACCAAGCAGAATTAGTTTATTTCCTTGTCCACATGAAAGCCCTTCAAACACTTGATGAGTGCAATCTTGTTTTCCCCAAATCTTTTCTCAGACAAAGAAGTATTCTTAGTTCAGCCAACTGGTACTTGTATAGCCTGGTCTCCAGTCCCTCCCCATCACTACAGTTGCCCTTCTCTAGACATGCTCCCACCTGTCCCCGTCCTCCCTAAAATGAGGCTCCCAGAACTGGACACAATATTCCACCTATGGTCTCATCAGAGTAGCACAGGACAGGACAATCACTTCCACTGTTACGGTCATATGTTATATATCCATCGCTTTTTGGCTGTCATGTCCTATTGTGAAATCCCACTGAGCTTTCGGTTCACTAAAATGCCCAGATCCTTTTTCAGATGTTTCAATATCAATGCGTCAAGTCTGAGGTGAGGGCAGGGCGAAGCAAGACTAAGGAAACTCGGTGAGAAGTCAGGACCAGAGATTTGACAGACATTTGCATAGATGTAACAACCGAAACTATGCAATGGATAAGTTGGCTCTCTAAAGGAAAAACATTTAAAAAAGGAATGACAAGAGCTCAAGAATTCAGCCTTGACAGGCACCTACAGTTAGGGAAGGAGAGACAGTGGAACCCTTATGAGGGAAAAAAAAGGATCATTTAGAAAAGAAAGAAAGTCAGGACTATCGAGGTATTTTTGAAGTATTTTAAGAAGGAGAAGGTGGTCGTTAGAGGAATCAAGGAAAGGAAGGTGAGGACAGAGTATGAATCAGGGGTGGGGAACCTGCAGCCTTGAGGCCCTCTAGGCCACAGATTCCCCATCCCTGGTATAAACCTTTCAATTACACGGAGAGGTGACCACTCTCTATTTCACTGGGAGGTGGAGTTATAAGCCAGATGGTGAAGGATTAATTAAAGAAGGAATGAATTGTGCATAACATCACACATTGATATAGCACTTTCTTTAGGGTTTGCAAATCACTTTCCTCACAACAACCCTGTCAACTAAGTACAGCATGTATAATGATCTCTATTTTACAGATGACACAGCCGACAGCAGATGGGAAAGGACAAGATACAGGCTACATGTAGAAAGGTTAGCATCCCAATGCTTTTTGTTCCTTGAACTCCTTTAAAAAAAATTTGATTCTACAAGGTAATTTAATATACTCGTAATACTCTATTATTACTTACTGCTTAAGGTGTCATTAAAGAATTTTTAGCACAAAACCTTGGATCATCGTTGAGAATCCCCAAAAGGTTCTGGACCCATGAAATAGGAACAACTGCATTAGAGGAAAAGGAATGAAACAGTGAGTGCATACAGATAGTGAAGTGAGGACAAGGGTAGTGGGGCAAACACAATGACTGATCTCAGTTTAAAAAAGAAAAAAAAAGAGGTGAAGCCACCAGCCAATAAACAAATGTTTACCTAATTTAAGAGGGAGGAAAGGTAGGACTGAAGTCTTGAGAATTTATGCCACAGCTGCTGTTGGAGGGAGCTAGAGAAACTCATTACAGTATAATAGAAAGAACATTGGACTGAAAGATACAGGAGACACAGGTTCTATCTAGCCCAAGCCCATAATCTATGCAACCTAGAGCAAATCACCTTAACTCTCTCTGGACAACAGTTTCCTTATTTGTAAAAAGAGGGGAATGAGGGGCAGCTAGGTGGCGCAGTGGATAGAGCACCGGCCCTGAAGTCAGGAGGACCTGAGTTCAAATCCGGCCTCAGACCAAACACTTGACACTTACTAGCTGTGTGACCCTGGGCAAGTCACTTAACCCCAATTGCCTAAAAACAAACAAACAAAAAAGAAGAGGGGAATGAGAGCTTTCCTGTTGGCCTTTTGTCTAAGTTCACGTGTATAAAGCTAGATGGCATCTCAGGTCCAGAACTCCATAAAACAGCAAGAGAAGAATAAAAGGACTGCTCAGGGATTACAAAAACCCTGTTGAAGTTAGAAAGCATGATTTCAGTGGTAAATTCACAGGTTTGCAAGTTCCTTGTCTTTCCAAAGTGGTGTTATATGATTCAGGAGTAGACAAAGTCAATGGCTGGTGTTTGATACA